AGAATTCAAAAAACCAAAACGCCATCGGTGTGATGAATGACCGCACCTGAAAGATCCTCTGGCGGGGAGGGGGGCAGGCCTCTGGGGAGGACAAATGACTATTTCTGGAATCTCAGGTGGGGCCTCACAACCAGGCCAACAGCCACAGAGTGCGAGCCAGCACCCAGTTAGCCTGTACGCTGCAACCCATGTCAGACAGAGACCAGCAACACCAGGCCTGTACAGACTCTCTGAATGACTCGCCACATTTTACTAGTTTATATATAACCCAACCCAAGCCCGCATTTAGCCATTACCATGGTCTGAAATTACATCTGCTTCAAGTTACTAGTTAAAGATATGAGTACGATCATAACACGGTAAACAAACCAGCTTTTCTGAACAAGGCATACTCCACACAGAGCATCTGGCTCTACCTCCCGCCTGTTCACTTGCTTGCTCGCTCGCTCGCTCACATCCCATCCATCTGTGCCAGTCACGTCCTGTTGTATCCTGCAGATTAAAACTGAGAATACCTGCGGCATTCCTGCGCTGTCGCAGTTTCCCCCGAGAGGACAAGGCAGACAGACTGCCGGATGTCCCCGACTCTATCAGGGGAGCAAAAGAAATACATACATTTTCAACTGCATTTCCAACCTCACTGTTTGTAGTCAATTTAAAAACCTGAGGGTGAATTATTTCTAATAGGAAGAGCAAATAAACACAAAAAGTTCCTGTAGCTCAAAAAGTAGAGCATTATGTGAGCACCACAAGGTTTGTGGGTTTGAATCTCAGGGAGCGCGGATAAACTGTAACCCTTCCATCCACTGTAGGTCACTTTAGGTTAAAATGCCAGATAAGTGAGAAGGGTGTGTGCCCTTTGCGAGACTCGTCCCGGGATGTTTCATTATGTTACGACGAAGATCACAAACACACACATTCAGATGGAGGATGGGACACACCACGCTCTACACAGTGCCTGCATGTGGAGCGGAACACTCTACCCGATATATACATATTACATCCCGTTTGATGCAAAGGGTTTCTAAAATGCCGCATCCCATCTTTTTCTAAAGCTGGGGTAAAATCCAGACCGACGATATCATTCTGTCATATAGTAAATAGTATTTTGGATTTCAATTCAGGTAAGAAAGAGAACATGTTAAAAAATACATTTACTGAAATCTGTTCTTCAGGCAAACAGACTTACCAGCGACTGAAAGGCAGTAAGCGGGCAGTTAAAATATCACATTAATAACCCTGGGGACAAAACAAAAAGGAAAAGGCCAGAGGTCAGCGTTAGCAGCGGTAGCCGACTGTTTAGCACACCAATTTTTCTTCTAATAGCAATCAAAACTGATTTTATACAGGGGTGTTCATGTTTCCCGAAAGGGGGGAACGAAAGCTTAAAAAGGATAAAATGCTCTTCAGTGCTGGTGTGATTCACCCCCGCGTCCATCACACTGAGGTGAGAAATCCTGACCTAACAACAAAGACAATTTTAACTGGACCCTCTCCCTTGTGAGTGTTCAAAATGTTCAAAAAACTTTACAACAAAATGAATACTTGCTTTACTGCATAAAAATTGATACAACGGCCCCATGGTTCCTTTCCATAAGTCCGTATTAGCCTAGTATTGCACTACAGCAGTAAACGCCCAGGCGTGTCACATCACTGCAAAGCCAAGAAACTCACGCCATCACTAACACTGCGTGTGACTCGCAGGGTTAGGCCTCTGTGCCTGTGATCAGAAGGTCACTGGTTCGAATCAAGTGCTCTGCAGTACAGTCACATGTTCACATAGGCCCTTAGTCCCCCAAAATGTTCCAAGGGTGCCGGATAAATGGATGAACCTGCTCCCTTGACCACAAGTTTCACTTTCAACTGTATATATTTATGTCTCAGACTTTGGAGAGCAAGACAGGATACAAAAACTAGGGCTTGGCGATATCATATCACTATTATATCGCGCATGCACAATAATCTCCAGGGCTTCAGGTGACACGCGAAACATTTGGCTGGACGCCTGCTTTTCGGTACTATACGGACGTTTATTTACGCCCACAAATTGTTAAGCAGATTAGTAGTACAGCTAAAATATGAGGCATTTTATGACCCCCAAAAGTTAGTAATTAGTATAAATTTGGCAGATCCATATGCTTAATAAACGTGTCAGACTTTAAACTGCAGAAAGTACCACCACACCGCCTATGTCTTTTTACCTCGTTTATCCACAAGATCTCCTCTTTTAAAAGACATTGTGGCTGCTGAGCTGTTCCTTTCTTCGCCGCCACTTCAGTGCATACTGCCCTGAAGTATACCAAACCGTAGTATACCAAAACAGTATTATGTGGTGAACTCCACCAACTGAATTTAATAAACATAAAGATACACCAAGTTTATACAGATTATTAACTTTCAGGTGTCACAAAATGCATGGCATTAATATTTTAGCCATAATATTAATATGCTTACCAAATTATGGGTGTAAATAAACGTCTGTATTGTACCAAAAAGCTAGGGTCTGGCCAAATGCTTTGCCTGTCATCAGAAACCCTGGTGATCATTGAGCATGCCCAATATAATATCGTTATATCGCCCAGCTCTACTGAAAACTAAAGAATTCCAATTTCCTGGTGCAAATAGCAAAATAAAGCATCATTTATTTTTTCTTTTCACTTAACATCACTGCAGTTAGTGCTGGATTCCTCCGCAAAGGGCAAGCATTGGTGCCTAGCATTGCAGACCACCAGCCACAGAAATGCATGGAGTGTTTATGTCCTAATTCAGGATAAAGACAGGCTGGTGTCCAGGTCACAAGTGAGACTGTAAACATACACATCTGGGTATATGTGGCCAGAATGCATGTTTGTTCCACATCAGCCAGGAAACAGGGTCAGGTTTGTTTCTGTCATGGATTACGACCACACGGCACTCACATTCATTTCAGTTAAAGAAATATTTTTGCGACTGCCAACTTGCCACAAAGCTCCACTCTGCAGCTTAAAGACTCAGTAAGAGACCGCTAAATGAACACAGGTGAGGATGAACAGCCACACATAAGGTAATATCCCTGAGCCAATAATTTTTATATTTTATATATTAATTATATCCTAGACTTATAACAAGAACATCATGTTGTAATTATGCAGTCTTAAACAAATGTTGTTTTATTTGATAAGCAGACGTGTTATTGGACGATTCATCAATGGGATAGTTAAAGTCAAACTGAACATTCAGAACATAACATTTCAAAGATAAGCCTGAAGCAGCTTTGAAAAATCCAGGGAACGTGGGAGAGACGGAAGCTGGGGTCCAGCGTGAGCATCCCTCACTGAAGAAAAATGCAACCCCACACCCCTAAACCCCCGAATAATGTATGTTAAAAAATGACGTCGCTGAATGTGGCAGAGTCCATTCGGACAAAAAAGTGCACCAATCAAGGGGTTTCTTTCCTGGGGAGGTACAGGAATTCCCCTCCACAATCCAGAACCATGACAAACGACACAAAGGGATCATGACTGATCTTTGCCCAACAAAGTCACACAAATGTGGCAGCATCTGAAAAAGGACAAAACAGACTGATGGATGGATGGATGTACAGAGTACAAGGTTATTTTAGGGAAGCCTAACAGCATTCAGTCTACCTAAACAACAACCAATATGCAAGCAGAGAGCATACAATATTAGAAGAACCACACTTCTGCATAGGTGGATTAACGTGTTAGCAACGGCTGCATGACGATATTCATGGAGATTGAAGAAATGCGTGTCGCATGGTCACACCGGCAAGCTGTCACGCTGTCCCCCATGACAATGTCACCTCAGCTCCGGCGCCGCTCACCAGACACCACGGTGTGGGGACGGGCCACACTCAGCCGCCTGCTGCTTTGCAGCTCGTCGTCCAAAAGTGTCACAGTGGGACCCATCTGCTTTGCTGAGGCTTCAAACACTGCTGACAGACTGTAAGTACTTTATGCACCCTGATCATCACCAGTATGAAGAAATATACACATATACGGTACAACCATCCATACATCTTCTAACTGCTTATCCTAGTCCAGAAGCTGGTATACATTTATATAGACACATATAATTACCCACACATATAAATATATGTATATTTCTGTTTACATGACACATGCACACTTATAAATCTGTCAACATCACCATTGATGTTCTGCGACCAGATGACATGTGATTAAGCTGTACTGAGGGAGAGATTCTTTTTATTTCATTTTTTACTGTTGTATTTTTTTCTGACTGCCGAATCGCTAGCAAGGGGCGCAAATGTCCCGGCAATTCGGTCCAGAAAAAGTCTCCTTATTTATTAGGCGCTTTCACGGGACGGAGCCGGCGGGCAGATGAGCCTGGAGACAGGCGTGCGTCAGCCGAGCCTGTCTCCGCGCATTTTCAACCGGCATCCCATATAATTAAACCACGGTCGTAAAAAAAACAACTAACACTCGGGCTATACAAATAGACAAAGCGTGGTGCAGAGCGGGGCTTCGGGGGCACGGTACTAGGGACTGCCGATCACCTGCTACCTACACTAAGGCTGCCGCAGGACGTGTTTACATCGCCAGGCAACCCTCCTGTCGGCTCCTCGTCCCGACTGCAGCTCTAACACCTCGTGTCATTGCGCACCCCCCCAAAATTACCATAATCACAATCCACCCCCTTAGGTCGCATGTTAGCCGTGCAGCTAGCTGTAGCACGGCTCGTGAGATGCCCGCGCGACACCGCGTGACAGCCCGCGGAGCCCAGTGTAGCCGCTTTGGTACTGTAGGACCAGGCGGACGATACAAACGGACAGAGAATAACAATGACAGCCGAGGGAAATTTCGCAGCCGAAACCCGCGGCTATATATAGCAGCGAAGTGCGGAACCGAGCAGCACCAGAAAACCGAGGTGCGCGGCCGAACACCCACGGAACCCGGGATAAACGTGCCGCTCGTCGGCGGTGAACATTCATGCACGCGCCGCCCCGGTGGGAAAAACAACTGGGTATTAGTACTCACTGTGTCTGTGGTCGTTTCAGTGAAGGGACCTCTCAAAGCGCTCTCAAGTGGTGCTCGTCCGCCATTAGATTTAAAGGCAGAAATCACCCGCTTCCCCCGCAGCGCCGGAGCTCCGGAGAGCAACGAACAGCCAGCGATTCGCCCGGGATGCGTTCGTGAAGGCGCCCGTCGCGAACGCGCACCATGGACGCAGCGTCGTCTCCCGGGGATAGGATGGCGTTTGAGCGGCCGCCTTTCTCTGGTCACGGTCGGGAGTGCGCATGGAGGCGGGAGCGCTCCTCACCTCACGGATTTGATTGGAAGATTAGAAAGAGGTGGCTGCCAAATTACGCGAGTCGATTGGATAAGTGAGATTCGATGGATGAATAGTCATAAGGGATTGGCTGTAACCGTAATTTATTGGTGACTTGCAGTGTTTTTAAAGCCGTATTTGTGTTGCTAGAGGTTGTATAGTTCATTTTATGTAGGAAACTTATTCTTTTAGGTTTTTTGAGTTTCCATTATATTATATGAATATTATGTTAATTTAGAAATGAATTCGCCTTACATTTGTTGCCTTTAAATTTTTTGGAACTAATTAATGCCTTATTCATCCTAATGTAATTCAACTTTCTCCAGAAAGCACTGAAGTCAATGAGTATAACTTACGTTATTTCGCAACTATGATGAACATGTGCAATAGAAGGTGTTAATCAAACACTAACGTGGAATACAAACATATACAAACCTTTCTACACGAACATCTACATGCACAGCTGTAGAGTCGATGTGAACTAATAAAATGTTAAAATGATCTAACATATATTTTTCTAGCTTTTTTATAGCTTTCATCACTTGTAGAAAATTAGACTAACAGATCGGCGAAGAAGTGCTCAGAAGTTCAGAACCATAATTTAAGAATAATTGAAGATCTCCGTTAATGTTTTAAGTTCTATAATTTCAAAACATTATTGTTAGTATGAGATCAAAGCATATTTTTCTTTAATTTTTTAGCGTATTAAACCTGCGAGTTTATTTTTTTTTTTCTAGAAAAGAGAGCATTCGGGGAAATTCATTTAGACGAATTTTTCCCTATTTTTGGCTCTGTAAATGCTAGTTCAAAATCTGTCATGTAATAAGTGTTGTAGTGAGATCAGTTGTCAGGGATGTTCTTGCCGCCATTGCTCAGCATATATATATATATTATCCTGCCTTGTGAACGCTGACATATTTCTGACAAATATCAGGATGTCAAATGACACAGCACGGACTCCACCAGAATCACCATGTGGTCCACGGGCCTCAAATGTGAACATATTAATCTTCCAACGAGTGACATGTAAACGTTTCCATGCACATATTTGAGAGCCAGCCTAACTCCAGTGCTCAGTAATGTTGCAAGTTTGTACTCTGATTAACGTTTTGTGATTCATTTTGAGCTTTGCAGGTTGAAGAGAATACTCATTATGCAAAACAAATCATTGTTATAAATACACAAACATGCCTTTTAAAAAGTAAGATCTGATAAAAGGCTCCTAAATTTAACCCTGACACTTGGAGTTCATGCAATGTTTACTGAGTTTAATTGCTATTAAGATGCAATAAATTTTGCTTCACCAAGCCAGTCTATACAACTGTAATAAAGTCAAATGTGATTCATAGTACATTTAGGATGTTATGCATAATCAAATTTAGCTTGAATTGAAGGAGGTTTCGCTGTGTTGGTATTGAGGCCCCTTAGAGCGACACCATTAGCAAGCATTCACAGATTCGATTAGAAAGAGAAGCTATATCTTTCCCTTTCTTTATTGATCTGTGAAGGAACTCATTTCAGAGAAGAAATAGTCCCAAAATAGCAGCTAGATCCCTTTGAGGACACAGTCCTCAGGTCATTATCATTATCTGTGTGTCAGACACCTATATGTGATCCATTTATCTCCGTAATACTGTACCATTAAACACTGCCACACCTCACGCGGCGCACACATGCATGTGTTTCACTAGTAGTGACTGGTTTATGGTTATATCCAGGTCAGCTATTTGTTGAGTGAACACTGATAAAGCATGATAGAGGAGTAAAATAATAAAGTTGCATTGTTCTTCCTTGAGAAGGCAGATTTAATTGATCTGGTGGCCACAGTGTACCCAGGACACAGTGGAATGATGGTATGATGTGGAATTGACAGTTCTCTCAGTACATCTTTGTCTGGATAACTTCAACCTCTCATTGGTTTCTGTCTGCGTGAAAACACTCGCTGCAAGTTCAGCTGCCATTGCCAGTAGCTTTGTCCAAGCCGAGATCCTTCCTTCCCGCTGAAGAGAACAAAGTGCTCTTTCTCCAAACCTAAATGCATGCCTGTGAACGGGGTGTGTAACAGGAGAGAGCTCGGCCACTCCACTGAATTATGGGTAAAAAACGATGGTATTTATACAATTTGGATGCTATAACAGCCTAAGTGGAGATTTTAGTATTCCTCACCAAGCCCATATGAATTTCATATACTTGTGAGACTACAGAGAAAGTCATATATACAGAGAAATACAGCCTCGGTGTATTTAAACCTGACTTAATCCTGTTGAAGAACAACATTAGGCATATGAAATATGTAACACAGGCCTTCAGTCAACATCCATCACTTTATTTTCCATAACTGATTCTCTGGTACACAGACACAGTTAACCCAGAGACAGTCCCAGCAAGCACAGGGCAGGGGATACCAGGCAGACCCAAGGTGGGTTCTGTAGGGCAGCGTTTCCTAACCGGGTCCTCAGGGAGCCCCAGACAGTCCACTGTAAGGAACAAACACACGCAGAGTCTGGGGCAGGAATCAAACCCACAGCCCTGGATGTGTGAGGATACAGTGCTCCCCACTTGGCTGCCCTACATTAAGATGTAATCTGAATGGCTGATGGTCCAGAGTCATGGTGTGAAGGTGAGACCCAGCAGAGTTCCCTGAATCTTTCTACTGCAGCAGCCCTGTTTATTGAATACTCATGAGGTCCCGACCTCTGAATGACATCCATTCCATGACACGGTCCTGCTGACACGTGACGGCAGCCGTTACTGCCCATCACCGCAAAATATCCATCTGCGCAGAACATTCAGCACTTCTCCAGCTATCAACCAATGAAATATCAGCTTAAGGCAGCACACAGGGCCAACAAAAAATCTTCAACAGCAGTTGTCATGGAGATCCTCCATGTATACTGAGGTGAGTTGCTGAGAATATGTATGCTGTCCCTACCTGTTATCCAAAATCAGGCAACTTTGGGGAGTTTATGATCCAGGTTTATGGATCTATAGTCCTTTGTTTCCTCAGTTAATCCCATGTTTAAAAATACCTGTATATTAGCTATCTTGTGATTTTGCAATACAATCAGTGCTGCGCATTTAACACACCTGTGTGACCTGATTCATTATACCAGGCTCCCTCAGGTATTCCTCCAAACATCAAATGCAGTAAAAATCACTTATATTGAATTAAAAACTTGATGTGAAGGTGAAAAATAACTTTGATGCCTTATTGAATTATCACAGCTCTGGACAAAAAATAGGACTATCTCTCACAGAGCCCTGAAAGCAATGGCAAGGTGACAAAGTCAAGTAAAGGATGTGGAGGTTTGTTTTTTTTTTCTTCCGGGGAGATAGCCCCTCCCATCCATCATTGGTGGCAGCCGTTGTGCAGGATGGCCGGTTGCCGGGGGCTTGGGGGGGATGGCAGGAATCCGGCTCAGCCTCACACGTAATCCTGAAGTCACCGCTCTGGCTTGCCGCCACTCCCGTTAAAGGTTTCACAGATTCCCTTCAGGAAAACGTAAATAATACTCACCCCCACTCCCCAGTCACCACTCCCTCCCCCGATTCCCTGGCATTTCATCGCCTTATTTATTCTCGCCGGTGGAGGAGTCTGGGATATCCGTGACGGCCGGGAGGACACAGTCTCCTCCTGCCTTTATGCAGTTGTAGAGGTTTCCTGTCCAGGGGTTGAGTCACAGCTGATGGACCCGTACCGATAGTAACGATGATTCGTCAGATGGTCCCCCGAAGGTGATAGAGCTGCATTGCAGGGCACTGGCAGCCATGGGTGCCTTCCACAGCATGCAGAAGGGTGGGCTGCCATTTCCCAGCAGCCCACCCTACGGGGCATGTTTGGAAGCGAATCAGAGAGCCTTTCAGGGAGCAGCAGGTGGGGAGGTGGAGGAAGACGAGGAGGGGAAGCGGGTGATGTTCCCTCTGCTGGGGCTGTAGTTGACCAGATAAAAGAAGAAGATTAAAAAGTTTGGTGTCCGGTGGCACTGATCTCGCCAATGGAAGCCGTGAAGGGGGTGTGTCTGAGGTCACAGGCCAGTCCTGTGCACGTGAGCACTGTGTGGTCCTGCTGATGCACCATATGGGACCCAGCCTTGTGATGTATAATAAATGCTGCCAAGAGGCCAGCAATTCAACTGCCAGGCAAACGGGCTCTCCCTGACGGGTCCGATAGAGCGCTCCCCAGTGGTCCCTGGGAGTGAATTCAGCTCCTGTCTCAAACTGGTCACATGCAACAGGACCGTTGAATCTTTAAAATGCAAAGTTGTGGACTTTAATAACAGCATGCGACAAACTAGGCTGGGAAAAGAATGAGAGAACCGACTGAACCCCTGACAGAGCTTGTGGAGTCTCCACCTATAAAGTAACCCACACCACGCAATAAAGTCAGCATGACCAAAGCGAATGACTTTAGCCAAAACCATGTTTTAACCGCAGGGGTTTATAAGAAGTGGTTGTAAGACTGTTAGTCAGTTTTATTCATTTTCCTTTCCATCATTATTATATTACTGATGTATGTACTGCGATGGGTTGGCGCCCCATCCTGTGTTGCTTCCTGCCTCACGCCCGTCGCCTCCGGGATAGGCTCCAGACCCCCTGCAACCCTAAATAGGATAAGCAGTTTCAGATAATGGATGCTTGGATGGATGGATGATATATGTATCTTTATATAATCGTCCTCACTGTAATGAATGCTGGCCATGAAGAAGTCAGAGAAATTCTGCAGGACACTGGCAGAACTTACAGAATGGGGGTGGTGGGATTTGAACCTACAACCCAGGGGATTCGGGCTGCATCACTGAAAATAATGGATGGCTCACCTTTATTAGGCCACTGGTGAGATCCCCACAGCCAGTGCAATGTCCTGTCCTAGTGCCACCCCCTGCATCGATCAGCCATTAAGGTCGCTCCCAGGAATGGAAACAGGACACATAGATCGTGTGTCTGCCCTGGGGTGGGAAACAAAGGGGAGGGGGGGGCACAAATCCTGTGCTGGGGAAACAGACCCAAAACAGTGGTTTGGCTGTTTGCTACTGGGCACATTTAGCCGGCCCTTTTGTGGCTGAGCTTCGCGTGCATCCTGCAGTAAATCCCTCTATGGAGAACTGAAACGACACTTTATGGTTTCGCTGGAAATTGCATAAGGATCTAGGAATGGAAATGATGAGGCAGGGAAGGACTCTAAAGTGAGAGACAGATGGAGGAAGAGGCAGTTTGGACAGAAGCCCTCCGATGTTGTGACTGCACAAGCAAAAGTAACAGCTTATGCTTCTGTTGTGCTAAATTAGCTCGATCTCAGAATCAGCTGACTTGCTTTTTCCAGT